AGGGGGAAGGAAGGAAGGAAGGAAGGAAGGAAGGAAGGAAGGAAGGAAGGAGAGGGGAGGGAAGGGGGGAAGGGAAGGGAAGGGAAGGGAAGGGAAGGGAAGGGAAGGGAAGGCGCAACCGCCCAACGACACCCTTTCAGAGCTGTCTGAGGACGCCCACAAGGTTCGGGCCAAGCAATCAAGGCCACCTCACCTGTCCAAAGGTAACCAATCAGACCAGAGCGGGCTGCCCTGTGGGGCTGGGAAGCCAGGCCAAGCCCCAGTCTCTTCTCACCTTCTGCCTCTGCCGTTGGCGTCCAAGTAACTAAAGAATCTCGCGTGTCACAGAGGAGTGTGACATCACTCGGCCGGCCGTGACAGGGCAGTCTGCGGGACCAGGCCCTAGCTCAAGTCCAGACCCCAGCTGCTCAGCGAAGAGTGCTGGCGCAGAGAAACCCTAGCAGGGCAGGGACCAGCTAGGTGTGGCCTGATATCCCCCCCCCGGCCCCCACCACAATCCCCCTGGCTTCCGCTTTCCTTCACCTCGGAAGGAAGGGGCGGGGGACGTGCCCAGAATTCAAGTGGTCGAGACTGAGCCAACTAGGCCTAGTGTCTGCACTTCGCGGGGCATGGGGGGACGGGGGGAGGCGGAGGAGAGCAAAAGGGAAAGAAGCAAGCAAGAGAGAGGACTTCGCTAGCGCTCCGGGGCAGAATTCGGGTAACGACGTCCCCCCCAAAACCCCGCATACTACTCCCGCCCCCCCGCCTCGGACTCTGCTTCTGCCTGGTAGAGTGCGCATGCGCAACACTAGTTTCCCCCCCAGCTTCCCTCCCCGCCCAGCTTTCTCCAGTCTCAACGACGAGCGCGGCCGGGTTCCCTCCAAGGGTTAAAGAACCGACAACGGAAGCTACCCCACTCTTATTCTTGCTCCCTTTTCACCTCTCAGTCTTGGTTTGCTTATTTCTAGCTCCAAACGTACCTTCTTAACACTCCTCAGGAGCCTACCCAGCTCTCCCACCACCGGATGTGCTCTGACTATCCCGGGGTTGGCTCTAGATCTTTACCCAGTCCCCCATCCCACGCCTTCTAAAGACCAGTTTTCATTGGTCGTTGGGTTGCACGCTCATAAACAGCACCAGCTTACTTCAGAGTCATTAGCTAATGACCTTGTCGATCAAGATTCTGCCCACCAACCGGCGTCGTAGGAATAGATTTCCGCCTTCTCTAGGCCCGCCCCCTCCACACACACACTTAGTAAGAAATGATAGCTATCCTTAGCGTCCTCTAGTGGAGAAAGCGAAGAGAAGCAGGCTCCGCCCAAGAGACACCTGGGAAGTCGCGGAGATCCTCACCAAACCCAACAGGATAGCGCTGCAAAGTCGGGGAATTCTGGTATTAGGCTTCTGATGGAAATATTAAACGGGACAAATAATAATGCGAACACATAAGAAACCTCCCTCCGAAATTCCTTGAATCTCGTGGAGCTTAAGCTTCGGAGTACCTTCAGCTATTTTTACAAGAATGCAAAGAGAAAGTACAAGTCCTAGCTCTTGTGGAGGTCACTCTAAGGCCAAATGCTGATCCTGGGGCCACAGGCTGGACGAAAAGCACTCTGCAGAGACCACCTCTTCATCCACCTGGTTGAGGGATGTCTTTGTGTGTGGGGGGGGGGGACTGGAGCTTGAACTCAGGGTCTGGGCACAATCAGTAAGCTGCTTTTGCTCAAGGCTAGCGCTCTACCGCTTGAGCCACAGCGCCACTTTCTAAAAAGCCAGAAGTGGCGCTGAAGCCAGAAGTGGCGCTGTGGCTCAAGCGGTAGAGCGCTGGCCTTGAGCTGAAGAGCGCAGAGACAGCACCAGAGCCCAGAGATCAGGCCCCACGACCAACAAAAATAAATAATTTTATTTTATTTTTACTATTAATGTGTTGTACAAAGAGGCTGCCATTTCATAAGTCAGGTAATGAGTACATTTCTTTTTTTTGGACAATGTCACCCCTTCCTTTACTTTCCCCTAGTCTTCTCCCTCCCTCATCCCTGCCCACAAGTTACATAGGTCATTTTCCACATAGTGTATACTATATAGCATGGTTGCATTTGTTCACTCTTCCTCTCTCCCTTTCTGCAACCTACTTCCAACTTTTTGTTGGTTATTGGAGATAAGAGTCTCACAGCTTTTCCTGCCTGGGCTGGCTTTAAACTGCCATTCTCAAATATCAGCCTCCTGAGTAGCTAGGATTACAGGTGTGAGCCACAACTTCAGAAATTGTGACTTCTTTCAAGAAAGGGAATTCTCCTTCCTTTAAGCATAGAATGGATTTAGTAACTTTTCTTTTTCTAATGACTAGAGTAAATGGGAGTGATGGTGTATGATTTTAGAACCTGGATTATAAGAGGAACTGCAGCTTCCTCTATGTTCTCTCTTGGATCACTCATGGCCAGTTGCCATGTCAGGAGGACACTCTAGCCAGCCCTGCACAAAGGACCACGTGGTAAGACCCATGTTGTTGTTGGCCAACAACATGTAATAACAATAACAGACAAGGAACTGAGGCATCCAGCCAATAGCCATGTGAATGAGGCTTTGTGTGTGTGTATGTAAGGATGAGGGTGTTGGTTCTCCACTTCTAGCTTTATGCTGGTTAATTGGAGATGAGTCTGGAGGATTTGTTTGTTCAGGCTGTGATCTCCGGATCTCAGCTTTTTGAGAATCTAGGATTACAGACATCAGCCACCAGCACCTGGCTAATGAGGTATCTTTTTTTTTTTTTTTTGGTGGGGTGGGGGAGTGGTATTGGGCCATGAATTTAGAGCCTTGTGCTCTTGCTTCACTTTTTCATTCAAGACTGGCCCTCCACCACTTGAACCATATCTCTATGTCTGGCTTTTTACTGATTAATTCAAGATAAGAATCTTATGACTTTCCACCCTGGCCTGGCTTGGGACCATGATCCTCAGATCTCAACTGCCTGAGTCACTAAGATTACAGACGTGAGCCTGGTGCCGGGCATGAATGAGGCATCCTAAAGGCAGTTATTGCTTCAGATGAATGGACCCCAATAAAACCTCTGTTACAGCCAAAGGCCTTGAGACTGAAGCTGGAGCTAGGCTTCTCCCAGTTCCCAGCTCTCAGAAACTATGTAAGAGAAGAAATATTTGTTTCATGTTCTCCAAGTTGTGGAATAATTTGTTAGGTGGCACTAGACTAAACTATTTTTACTCAAATTTCTTTCCTAATTTCAGCTGGTAATGTGACAAGCTAAGCTGTCGAGTTTCACAGTTTGAGCACATTGCAGGTGTCAGCCATTGGTGCAAAGATAAGTAAAAGACACGGAATAACTAGGTGTGTGTCCTGATTGGTGTTCTGAAACAATCACTCAAGCTCCCATTGTGGCCATTTGCCACAAGAAAAGTAAGTCAAGCTATTGGGATGGATAATGGACTTGGACTTCAGTAGTACTTGATAAAGATGGAGCAAGTGAATGGATGCTATATATGGGGAAGGGTGAGAAGGAAAAAACAACCTGGCTTCAGTCTAAATCATGTTTTTCCAGGCACCAGTGCTTCTTATTACTAAGTCCAATGGCCTTTTTTTTTTTCATGCCAGTCCTGGGGTTTGAACTCAGGGACTGGATGTGGTCTCTGAGCTTTTTTGCTACCGCTTGAGCCACAGCTCCACTTCCAGTTTTTATTTGCTAGTTAATTAGAGATGATAATTTCACAGACTTTCCTGCTTGGAATGACTTCAAACCTCAATCTTCAGATCTCAGCTTTCTGAGTAGCTAGGATTCCAGGCATGAAACACTAGTGCCTGGTTCCAGTGGCCTTTTTTTTTTTCTTTTTACCCTTTCCTTTCCTTGAAACTATTTTGCCAGTCCAGATGCTTGAACTCAGGGCCTGGGCACTGTCTCTGAGCTGCTTTTCCTCAAGGCCAGTGCTCTACCACTTGTGCCACAGCTCCACTTCCAGCTTTTTTGTTTATGTGGTACTGAAGAATCAAACCCAGGGCTTCATGCTTGCTAGGCAAGCACTGTATCACTAAGCCACCTTCCAGCCTCTTGAAACTATTTCTTTTGTTAGCTTCCCCAGCCTAGTACTACCTGGTTCTCCTTCAGCCTTTGTCTTGATTGCTTAATAGCTACCAAGAGTCATACATTCTCCCTTTCACCCAGGGTTAAAGCCGGAGCTGTAGCTGGCATTAATGACTCATGTCTGTAAGTCTAGCTGGCTTGGGCAGAAAAATCCAAGAGACTCCAAAATAACCAGCAAAATCTTAGATGGGAGGTGTAGCTCGAGTGTTTGTGCCAGCTCAAGTGCCAGCTATGAGCAAGAAAACCAAGTAAGATCATGAGACCCAGAGTTCAAGCCCCAGTACCACATACACACACACACACACACACACACACACACACACACACACACGAGAAAGGAAAAAGTTGCTCTCACTCTCTTGTCTTGTTGGGGGCGGGGTCCAGTCGTGGGGCCTGAACTCTGGACCCGGGCACTGTCCTTCAGCTCTTCGTTCAAGGCTAGCACTCTACCACTTCCACAGCGCCACTTCCAGCTTTTTTCTTATGTGGTGCTGAGGAATCGAACCCAGGGCCTCGAGCATGCAAGACAAGTGCTCTACCACTGAGCCACCTTCCCAGCCCCTTGCTTTTCTTTTTTAAAGAAATCATGTATCACATCCCTGTTAGGCACCAGATTCTAATTTAAACATTTGACATGCATTGTACACATATACATGAACCTGGTAGACCAGGTGTTTAGCATGTATGTAATCCCTTTATGTAGGCCCTGTATGTAATCCTCCTCTGCATTGGAGAAAAAGAGCTTAGTATTCAATTGTGACTAATACTAATGTATCCATTTGCTCTGTTATAGATTGTGCTTTAAAACCATAGCTAAAACATTTTCTTTAATCTAGGTCACAGCAAAGGCCACATTAGCTTGAAAGGGTTATCTAAGAGCTAGAATCAGGGCTGGTAATGTAACTTAGTGGTAGAGTGCTTGCCTAGCATGCACGAAGCCCTGGGTTCTATTCCCCAGTACCACATAAACAGAAAAATCTGGAAGTGGCACTGGAGGCTCAAGTGGTAGAGTGCTAGCCCTAAGCATAGAGAGGCTCAGAGACAGAGCCCAGGCCTTGAGTTCAAGCCCCAGGACTGGCACAAAAAAAAAAAAAGAACCAAGCACTTAGGGTTAGAATCACCCACTAAACCAGCCATGGGTGTGGTAGACACAAGGTAAAAGAACAAGGTAGGTCTGGGAAGGTGGCTTAGTGGTAGACTGCGTGCTTAGCATGCATGAAGCCTTGGGTTAGATTCCTCAGTGCCACATATACAGAAAAAGCCGAAAGTGGTGTTATGGCTCAAGTAGTAGAGTGCTAGCCTTGAACAAAAGAAGCTCAGGGACAGTGCCCAGGCCCTGAGTGCAAGCCCCAGGACTGGCAAAAAAAAAAAGAAAGAAAGAAAGAAAAGAAAAAGAAGCCCCATTGTAGATGGTAAGATTTTCAGAACAGCAGTGTAGTGGATATGCTTGATTAACATTTAGCATCTATTCTTATTTCCTAGTATGTTTTCCTTAGGCCTCAGAATCTGGAAAGCTAAGGATTATGTTTCTCAGAATAAATTGAAGGCAAGTTGGGTGCTGGTGGCTCACGCCTGTAATCCTAGCTACTCAAGAGGCTGAGACCTGAGGAACAGGGTTCAAAGACAGCCAGGGCAGGAAAGACTGTGAGACTCCTATCTCCAATAAATCACTAGAAAACCGGAAGTGTTGCTGTAGCTTAAGTGGTAGAGCTCTCACCTTGAGCTGAAGAGCTGAGGGATAGGGCCCAGGCCCAGAGTTCAAGCCCCACAAACCGACAAATAAATAAATTGAAGGCAGTCATTGTTACTTGAATCACATTCAGAGTGCAGAAAGAAGTAAGACAAAGGCTATCATGCTGCTACTTTGACTTTTGCAAGCAAGGTTGTGAAATATTTCCATCATAGCAATCCCATAATATTAAGAGCTGGCTGCAGCCAGGTGATGGTGACTCATGCCTGTAATCATAGCTAAT